TTAAATATCCATGCCTGCTGTGGCCTGCCAGATTCAGACAGTGAGGAGGTTGGGGAGGAACATGGGCCAGTCCTGGAGTCTGGGGAAGGCTCTGATGAAGGCTCTGTGTTGGAGGCAGAGTGGGGGCCAGAACTGTATGCCAGTTATCAGCTGCCTTCAGAGTCAGACATCAGTGAGGCAGACGAAGAGCTGCAGCCTGTTTCCAGTGTGCGCATGCACAAAGTTGCCAGATGAAGGGAACAGCTAAAGAACAAGGGTCAACTTGATAATAAGGTCTCAGGTGGATGATGAATGGTCCCCTCCCAGAGGAAATAAAAGAGGAGCAAAAGGGGAGACGAGTTTGCAGGAGACAATTAGTTTGCTTAATTGGTTTGTGACTCTCTGAGACTCCTTGCCAAGTTTTGCAGATATCAGCCTGTCAGCTCTCCAAGCCAGATAAGGTCTGTGACTGTAAATCTGCCCTTGAAAGACTTTGCTGGATGTCAATGAGCAGAATTCACAGTAAATTAATAAAAGGGGTTTTTGTTGGGACAAGGAGTTGCTTCATGCTCTTGGGAAGCCTCGGTCAGAACATTGCCATCTTTTATTTTCTCCCTTTTCTAGTAGTGTTGTCGTGTTTGCTATGGAGCTTGTTTTATATTGCATTTTGCTATGCAACCTGTCAAGGGTTCCTTTTGACAGCAGCAGTGCGCACAAATCAAAATCAGATAAACAAATAAAGCACAAATCAAAAACAACCAAAAAGTACCATTTCTTGAGTCTGCCATTCCAAGGATTTCATCCAACTGCTTGCTAAACTTTTCCAACTCCTTGTTATTTTCTTTCTCGTTGCTGTCTTCTTCTTCTTCTTCTTCTTCTTCTGATACTAAAATCTGATAACCATACAGCTTGGGAGACCTTTTTTCCTTGGGATGCCCAGATTTCTGACCCATGAAGGTTTGCTGTTTACAAAACACACAAACTAGTTACAGCATCCGCAACTCTTGACTTCTTCAACAAAGCAAAAGAGGGCTTAGCAGCAAAGCCTGACTCCACTTAGTAGCACCAGGCATTTGATGGATTTTCAGTTACAAAACTATGGGATAATTTAAATGGGAAAAGGAGAGCCAGTCTTGGTCTAGTACAGGGATCCCCAAACTTGGCAACGTTAAGACTTGTAGACTTCAACTCCCAGAATTCTCCAGCCAGCTGGAGAATTCTGGGAGTTGAAGTGCACAAGTCTTAAAGTTGCCAAGTTTGAAGACCTCTGGTCCGGTAGTTAAGGCAGCAGGTTAGAAACTGGGAATTGTTTTATCAATGGTTAGAGAATAAATGTGAAAAGTGGAAAAAAGCAGAGGAGTGAAATAGAGAAAAATGTTTTAACAAAGTTAAATAAGTTAAGAACAGGGTTGTGATAGTATTAGGTATGGTATATATTAGTATTAAGTTAAGAATGGATAAAATAATAAATATGTCTGTAAATTGCAATTGTGATTGTATAAAATATTTGCACAAAGTATATGTACCCAGACAACACACTGTTTAGTGAAAGATGATGTTTGAATTAAAATAAAATTTAAAATTAAAAGAAAGAAAGAAAGAAAGAAAGAAAGAAAGAAAGAAAGAAAGAAAGAAAGAAAGAAACTAACTAACTAACTAACTAACTAACTAACTGGGAGATTGTGAGTTCTAATCCCACTTTAGATAATAAAAGCAGCTGAATGACCATGGGCAATCTCTCTCTTTCTTAGCCCAACTCACCTGGGGAAAAGGAGAAGTTTGTTGCCTTGACTTTATGCGAAATAACAAAGGTAGGATAGCAATATTAAAAAAAAAAAAATGAAACTTGTAAAGGTCTTCCCTACCCACCAATGTTTTACAATAGGGATGGAGAACAATGGCTGGCTCAGGAATTCTGGAGTTGAAGTCCACAAATTTTGAATCGTTCTCCACCTCTGATCTACAACTTTCCCCAGATGACTGAATGCTTTCTTTTTTCTGAAAAGAAGAGATTCCAACAGTCTGATTTAAAATTCACAGGTTGTCAAATTTACAACACAAATTAATTACCGTAATTAAAATAATTAAAATTAAATGTAATAGATCAATATAAATCAATTCATTGATGTTCAAATTATGGGGAAATTGCCAGAGTTGTGTAGTGTGATTGTTAAGAGATATCAGACTGAGCCTCAGGACAGACAGGTCCTAGTCTACTCTCACCCACTGAAATTATTTGGGGACAGTTTTTCTCAGACCAGCCTACCTCACAGGGTTGTTGTTGGGGGGGAAACAGGAAGAGTGTGGTGTATGTATTCCCCTTAAAGAAAGGGAGGATAACAGTCTAGGAAAGAAGACAAGGGAAGGAGATAAAGTTCATCAGATCCAATCCCAATTCTGTCAAGATATTTGAGAGCAAGAAATAAATAAATAAAATAAAAATAATTGTTAAATAAAAATACAAAGAGCCTGAAAAGAGCTCCTTCAGCAAGAAGAGAAGAAGACACAACAATCTTCTAGACCTCAAAAGGAATCAAAGCAGACGTAATAGGAAAGAAGAGCTGTTACATACAAGTAGTCCTCGATTTATGACAGACTCCCTAAAAGGATCCAATTCCAAAGTTATGATGGCTTTGCACACACACACACATGCAGTCACGTGTTCACATTTTGGGCACTTGGCAACTACTCATTTTATGGCTTTCTGCAGCATCCGAGTGAGAGTTGGGAGAAATTTATCCCCAAATGTTGGCGATGTAGCCACAAGTCTGGAACATTTTATCGTATGTGGTGGACGTGCCCCATCACAAGGAAATACTGGTGCAAAATTCGGAAATGGTTGGAAGAAATTACGGAGCAAAAAAATAAAACTGAAACCAGAAGCATTTTTATTAGGACTATTAGATCAAAAAAATGGATAAACAATTTCAATACATAATAATACACAGACTCATTGCAGATAGGATTGCTTTCGCACAAAACTGGGGGAAAAATCAATACACCCGCAGACGAAACAATAATTAGAAAAGTACTTGAATGTGCAGAGATGGACAAAATGACACTAGAACTAAAAGAAAGAGAAGAATCGGATTTCTATAAAACATGCAATAGAATTTATAAGTGGCTAGAAAACAGAAGCCAAAACAGAAAATGGAGAATGTAAATATAATCGTGATATAAATAATTAATATTATTATTAGTGTTAGTACTACTGTTATTGTATTATTGGACAAGGTAAAATCAATAAGAAGGCAATGCAGAATGGAAAACTATAAAGGCTAAACATGAAAGCCGATACAGATGGCTGTATAATTACTTTATATCGTTATATATGTTTTTTTTTTGTTTTTTTTCTTGCTGTGTTTTTCTTTCTGTGTTTTAAAGATTAAAATGTTTAATAAAAACTATTTTAAAAAAAGAGTAGCCAAGGTACTGCCTACTGGTTCAAAGCTTTTGTGTGTCAAACATGTGATGCACGAATATGGTCAGAGATCAGTCACAGCATTGTGGCTGCCATCTTGACTTTTCTGACCACCACATCCTATGAAAACCCCTTCTCACTCATTAGCCTTGCTGAAATATCAGTGATTTTCATAATCAAGGCACCTGGAAGAATATTCACATCTCCAGGGTAGCTGGAAGAACCACACAACCCTCGGCCTCTCGATACCCAAAGAAACATGGTGGGCAGCCATTTTCTGCATCATGTTTTCCTTTCAGATCATGGAACATCTGTGGCCTCACAAATGCTGTAAAATGGAGAGAGAGAGGCAGCCAATGTTAAGTCAGACGCCCATTCCTTCCTGGATAAAAGTGGTTTGTCGCTCCTTATTGTGCAGAGGAATAAATCAAAGGGACAAAGAACATCCTTGTATGCCAAGGTATACATGACATGGTATTGCTAATGGAAAAATGGGTTTTTCCAATCTCAACTACATTAACCAGCATCCACACATAATACTTGTCTCATAAAATATTTTTAGCATCTCCTTTCTGGAAACCAGGCTAGTTTTTTTTCTCTCTCTCTCAGGTTTTTTTTATTGTATAACATATAAAAATTCCATTTCCAATTAAACAGTGTGTTGTCTGGGTACAAATAATTTTAGGAAATAGTAATTAAAATATTTACAACAGTGTTCATTGCATTAGCATTTGTTATATTAATAATAATAATAATAATAATAATAATAATAATACAGACAAAATACTGGCGCATAATACACCAGACATCACACTGGTTGAGAAAAATAAGGTCACAATCATAGACATCGCAATACCAGGTGACAGCAGGGTAGCTGAGAAGGAACATGAAAAAATTGCAAAATACCAGGACTTAAAAATTGAAATTCAACGACTATGGCACAAACCAGCAGTGGTAATTCCAGTGGTAATTGGCACACTGGGTGCTATTCCAAAAGCATTGGAATTACATTTAAAACAGTTAAAAATTGACAAAATCACCATCAGTCAAATGCAAAAAGCCACACTGCTTGGATGTGCACGCATATTACGAAAATACGTTACGACATCCTAGGCCCCTGGGTGGGGCCCGACTAGTAACCAATGCCAAATCCGGCGAAACAACTGGCCGCTGTGATACAATTGTATAATAATAATGATGATGATGATGATGATGATTACTTAACCATTTTAAAATACGTCCCTTATATCATTGATCCTTTCCTTATATTTCCCAGTTTCCAAGTTCTGTTTTTGTCAGCTAACCATTGATAATGTAAGTCCCAGGTCAAAAAGTATTCCTTCTCTTTCTTTTCCTTAATTTTAAGTGTTAGCCTATCCATTTCTGCACATTCTAGTATTTTTTTAAATCACATTTTCATCTGTTGGGATCTCTTCATTTTTCCATTGTTGTGCAAATACGATTCCAGCTGCAGTCAGTACTTGTAAAATCAGATATGCATTCCCTTTATTATACTTATACGGTAAAATGCCCAACAAGAATATTTCTGGTTTCAACTCAGTACGTTGCTTTGCCATTTTTTCCACCCATGTATGTATTTTTGTCCAGAATATTTTTTGTTTTGGGGCATGTCCACCACATATGATAGCACGAACCAGGTGTCTGAAGAGATTTCCAACATTCTGCGACATATCCTTAAACATTTTTGCTTAATCAGGCTAGTTTTGTACCAGTTGGCTAGAGCAGTGTTTTTCAACCACTGTGCCGCGGCACACTGGTGTGCCGTGACACAGTGTAAGGTGTGCCGTGGGAAAAACACTTTATATATAGTCAATATAGGCACAGAGTTAAAATTTTTTAACGTTTTCTAATGGTGGTGTGCCTCGTGATTTTTTTCATGAAAAAAGTGTGCCTTTGCACAAAAAGGTTGAAAAACACTGGGCTAGAGAGTGTTTTGTCCACTTGCTTCCTTTCCAAATGCACCCAAATATCTTGCTTTAAAGCCAGAATCTAGACAGTTACCATATAGATTTATATAGGATGAAGTTTATATGCTTCATCCTACATATAAATCCCAGTGAAATCAGAAGATTTGTAAATAAATAGAAAAAGAACAGACCATTAACATTTGTATCTGAGCTGCTTGAGAATGATCTTAAGAATGCCACTCCATGGCAGAATGCCATTCATGATCCAAAGATGACTTTAAAAAGAAAATCTCCTTTGAATTGAACTCGAGGATATACAAGGTGACCAGGTGACTGAGAAAAGGGTCTGTTGGAGCTACATGGGTCCTCAAAGTTTCAGCCATTGCACTATCCCCACAGTCACCAACTCTCACTGATGAAAATAACATAGCCCATGATCATTAACTATTTACCTGCCTATCTACCCTATTTTTGGAGTATAAGATGCACCTTTTTCCCTCAAAAAAGAGGGTGAAAATCTGGGTGCGTCTTATACACTGAATATAGCATTTTTGCCTAACGACCCCCCCCCCACCTTTGCAAAAATGGACGTGCAGAGGGTTTGGGAGGCTTGCAAAGTGCTCCTAAGGCTGGGGAGGGCAAAAAAGAGAAAAAAAACAGGCCGTTTTTGCCTCCCAGCCCCTATGAGCACTCTACAAGCCTCCCAAGGCTCTGCACCCACTCACTCCGTTTTTGTGCAAAAAAAAACACGAGGCCTGCAGAGGGTTTGGGAGGCCTGCAGAGTGCAAAAACTTTTTTTTTAATATTTTTAATTTACCTGGTACATCTTAATACTCTGGTGTGTCTTATTGTCCGAAAAATACGGTACTTACAAATCACCAAAAACCTGCAAATCTTTGCCAACTTCCAAACTGACTTGGCTTTTTGAAGGTCGGCAGACAGTTGCTTAAGGACAGCAATGGGGACAGCCAGGACGGCAACATCACATTTTCCAACCACATTGCTTAGCAATGAAAAAAAATCCTACCCCAATTACCGTACTTAATCAAGGACTGCCTGTATATCTGTCATTTCCTTTGCAGCAAAACACAATCTGTTCATCACAGCTTTTTCCCAGTAACCTTCTTGACTGCCCAGTCCAGCTAACTCACCTGGCATTTTCTTCCCATTCAAGTTCTAACCAGGTCCAACTGCTCAGTTAGGGGGAATCCTTCAAGGTCCGCTACCAGTGTAATATTGTTTTTTTAAATGCCTATTTATTTTATTTTTATTTATTTATGTATATCCCACCTTTATTATATTTTAACAACAAAAGGCGGAGAACTAATACTCCTTCCTCCTATTTTCTTCACAACCACAACAATCCTGTGAGGTAGGTTGGGATGAGACAGAATGACTGGTCCAAAGTTACTCGCCCGGCTTTCATGCCTAAGGAAGAGCTAGTCACCTAGTTTCTAGCTCGGTTGCCTTAATCACTAGACCAGGGGTCTCCAAACTTGGCCACTTTAAGACTTGTGGACTTCAACTCCCAGAATTCCTCAACCAGCTGGTTGAAGAATTCTGGGAGTTGAAGTCCACAAGTCTTAAAGTGGCCAAGTTTGGAGACCCCTGCACTAGACCAAACTGGCTCTTTTATTGTATTTTATTATTTATATTTCATCTGACTTGATTTTCCGAAGATCATAATACGCAACAATATTCAGGCCCCATCTTGACTTGTATGTCACCATAATGCCACCATGCTCTGGCAATCTGCTTTTAAACATATGAAGCCATAACTGGTCCGCCACATTTTAACCCACCAGATCTGGTGATCAGAGCCTGCCTAACTAGATCCAGTTTATGCATGCAACATCACAAAAATTGGATTACGTCACTTAAACAATCTGTTTTCTTTGCAGTTCCACAAAACAAAGACATGGGAAGATCTTGCTCCCAAGATAAAAGGGGGGGGGTGGAATATCCCTTTTACTAACTTTTTTTCTGACTTGAGATTAAGCATAAAGGCTGATAGTTCTGAATAAAATAGGGATGGAAACCTAGCCTGCTTTGTAATCAATATCTATTAAAATTTATTAAAGATTTATTGAAATCTTCACCGGTCTGGGTGATTTAAACTGTCCATAAAATATATGTGCTGTGTTTCCCTGAATATAAGACATTGTCTTATTTTCTTTTGACCCTTAAAATATGGCCTTGACCTTATTATCAGGGGGGCTATTTGTTTTGGGGTTGCTGGGCGGCTACTCTCTTGCAAACGGGCTCCTGAAGAGCCTGGCGCAGGGACCGGGGGACGCTGACACAGCCTCAGGGGCGAATAGCAGCCATGAGGTGACTATGATCATGAGCAGCCGCCCAGCAACCCCCCTCTCCCGCCAGGCAGAGCACCACTCACTGTCCCAGCGGTATCCCGAATGTGAGCCATGGGGGAGGGGAGACAGGCGCTTACGCAGTTTGACACCTTCTGGATACTGCTAGGTTGATGAGTTGGCGCTCTGCCCGGCCGGAGGGGGGATTGTCTAAGGGACTTATTTTCAGGGGAGTGCTTATATTTTTCCCACCCCAAAAATCTGGCATGGCCTTATTTTCAGGGAAACACGGTACGGTAGGTAGTCCTCAACTTATGGACACAATTGGGAGTAGAATTTCATTTGCTAAGCAAAGGCCCTGTTAAGTGAACAGTGCCAATTTCACAATCTTATGGTTATGGACATCACAATATTAAGGTAAAAGAAAAGGTTCCCCTCACACATATGTGCTCGTCGTTCCCGGCTCTAGGGGGCTGTGCTCATCTCAGTTTCAAAGCCAAAGACCCAGCGCTATCCGAAGGCGTCTCCGTGGTCATGTGGCCGGCATGACTAAATGCCGAAGGCGCATGGAATGCTGTTACCTTCCCACCAAAGGTGGTCCCTATTTTTTTACTCGCATTTTTAAAGTGCTTTCGAACTGCTAGGTTGGCAGAAGCTAGGACAAGTAACGGGAGCTCGCCCTGTTACGCGGTGCTAGGGATTCGAACCACCGACATTTCTGATCAACAAGCTCTGCATCTTAGCCACTGAGCCAGCGCGTCCCATCAAAATATTAGAGGTAAGCTAAAAGGGATGCCAATAAAGATCATCTTGGTACCATTACTACAAAAACACTGGAGCCATTCTCCCAGGACCTGGTTAATTTTACCAGTCAGTTATTGTAAAGGACTTGTATATCCTTAGGTAACAGATCATGTGCCCTCCATGTATCTCCATCGTAAGCTCCCTGCCCA